GAACGAAACTCAAAAAAGTAACTTGTTTGACTGTACTGTGCCAATGAAATGCCACTGTATATCAGGACATCTGAGCTTTAAAGCGTCTGCTTTATCAGCAAGCTCCTGGATGTAATTTTCACCAAACCTGAGCTGCCCCGCTCCATAGCAACACCTGAAAGCAACGGCCGTACAGAACACATCTATCCGATGATTCAGTGCAAAATATGTTTCAAAGCACACAGACAAAATAGCCAAACTGCTTACTCCACAACAGCAGCAGGTTTTGTCTTTGAGACGGCCACCAGAGAGGGCTTCCGGTTGCGCCAGAAAGCAGTCTGCCTCGTACTCCCCCAGGCCTCCTCGATCCGCGCTAGAACCAACTGGAGATTCTCGACCACTGCACTGCGGTCCAATTCACCGAGAGGCGTCCAGCTCTTGCATAACTCACTCATCGTCCTCACGCCTCGTGCTCTGGCCGAAACACAAAAACAGCTCGCCAGTTTCTGAAAAGGCCATCATTGCCAGAAAATGCAAAGGCGGATCGCCAGAGGCGTCTTAGCCCGGCCGGCAATTCGCAGTGACAGATCCGAACTGACCGTTGCCGCGAAGAAGCCAAGCACAGCAGTACGGGGAATGACTCTGACAAACCAGCACAGAGACAACGGGGCCAGCGAGCAATAAAACTCGGTGCGACGGCTCCACAAGTCGATTTCAACGACTGGCCGGTTCTGGAAATTGGGTTGAGATTACTGGGGGTAGTAGTAGAGAGGCGGGGCCGGGAGGAGGGGACGAGAGGAGGAGGTGGGTGGGTAAATCTCGGGTTATCGGCTGAGACTGGAGGCAGGAACTGAAAACACGCAGGGTTTGTGGAAGGGAAGGCGCCTTTGCAGGTTTTTTAATGACCGGCATGAGAGTTAGTGCTGTGTGGGAGTTAGCAACCTTAAAAACTTACCTAGAGAAAGAAACAAAGGCTGGAACGCACCAGGCGAGCCGGTGCGATCATGCGTTTTTGCATCAAAACTA